ATATGAATTCTTATTACTCAGCATGTATTTGGTCATCATCCGTTTACTAACATCGATGGGGTCGATCCTGACATCAGCACTGCAAAAGAAGTAATCATTTGATATTAAGACTATCATGTGCCTTGTTTTGAGTTCATTGTTGAGTTCCTGATATATCGTACTTCTAATTTTATACAATAACAGAATAGTGAAATCGCTTCTTTTCCGAATAGCATGCTAAATGTAATTTTTGTCAGTTTAGCTTATCATCTGAGAAAGAAAATAAATTAAATTTGATCATTCAGATTGTTACAAAGAAATTCTGATTTCTTAGCGTTTTGAACAAAATAAATATTGGTTTGAACTGCTTAAAGGGGTAAAAGTTACAGCGTTGGACTACAAAAGGGAAGCAAATTGCTCTTATTTCTAGGGGTACAAATTGAGAAATTTGAGAACAATTTTGATTACGCGTAACTTGAATAAATAAGCGAAGTTGACTTCCTTCAATACCTCGATTGTAAGTTGTGAGCAGTTCATGGCATGCTCTTTTAAACTGCAAAATGGAAAGAAAACTTTTCTAACGTTATCAACATAGATAAAGCGTATTTGGACATAGCATCATGATAGAAAGCCAAACTTTTTAAACACATGGGGCCTTGATAACGTTTAAGACCTGTATCATTAACAAATGGTGTTCAATTCTCAACAGAAGCCGGATATGAGACGAATCAAATGGAGCCAGAATTGGTTGCCTCGATACTTTAACCAGCATGTATATATACCTTTAATATACTGCTTGGTAAGTTAATGAATTACGTTTCAGAAGGCTTCCGTGAAAGTTATTTACTTGCACTCACGTTTCTTGAGACAAGGAGTGTCTTTTGATTAAGGCATTCAGTGGATCCAAACCTCAGTTATAACGAACATATTACTAAGAGTGTTTCAAACTGTCTATTTGAGTAAAAACAAATCAATAGAATTAAGCATCTTTTAGATAGGAAAACGCTGTTGCTACTTATAACTGCCTTCGTTTTGAGCAAATTATTATATTGCCCAAGCGTCTAGAGCAATAGTAACATTAACAAATTACAAAAAGTTTAAAACTTTGTTGGACGAATTGTTCTGGGACTTAAAAAATATGACCATATCTCCGAAGGACTAAGATCATCGAATTGGCTCCCTGTCAAAGATAGACTTACTTTGAATGATGCAACTATGGTTTTCAAGTGCATAGATAATCTTGCTCCAGATTACCCTGCAAATAAGTTAAGGCTACGTTCTTGTGTTCATGGCAGGCAAACTCGATCAGCTAGTACCCTGGATATACCTTTTTACCGCCTTTCAACTGGTCAGAGGTCTTTTGCTTATAGAGGACGAAACTGTGGATCTCATTAAGCAGCAATCTTGTGTGTTTAAAATGTTCCAAGAAATTTAAGCGTCAATTTACTGAGCTGCTATTAGGTTTACTTCATTATTCAATAATTTTATTCTTCTGATATATATATTTAGCTATAGCTATAGTTTTATATTCTTTAATTTTAGTTTATTTCTTTTAATCATTTGTATTGACGCTGAAAAAACCCATTCAGGGAGCTTCAATAAAAATCTGTAACTGTATCTGCATGAACGCTATGCCTCTTTGTTTGCAACAGCTGGGCTTCAAGACTTATCTTCAGGATTTCACTACATTCATATCCCTGAAAAACAGTGAGTTCAGGACTTCGCTTAAATAAATATTGTTTTTAATTTTTCCTGATTATGGCACATTATTAAGAAATATGCTACTTGTTAAAAAAAATACCTTGGATGATTTTTAGAGGAGAAACAATCTCTTTTAACTTGAGCGCAGGCCAGAGAGCGATTTTAATGGTAAGCTAGGATTCAAAGTGAAAAAAAGACCAAACAAACAGTCGGCCATGATAAGTCAAAAGAGATGTGTGGGGGAAGGGGGCTCCTACAATCCCCACTTTCGCTCAAATTCAAGGTGGCAGCACATTTCGGGTCGATCATAACCCGTTTACTGCAATTGGTATTTTTATTTTTTGGCCGTCAACTGATGCAGAAAACTCGTACTGTTTCGTCGAAACAGACTCTTATTGGCTATCTCAGATAAAATGTACTAATATTGATAATTTTACAACATATTGATTTATCGTTCCGTTCAATTTTTTTTTCAGGTACCATGCGGCTCAATCCACCCTCAAAATCTCATGTTATTTTATTCTTTAGTGGAAAACTTTTCTTTTTCATGCACAAGGTGATACTTCCCTGGATGTTGCTCTCATTTTGGAAAATGGTAAGCTTCTGTTTGTTTATTACTCTTAACTTAATCTATATCTCGTCACAAGCTGAAGTTACCTAGCTTAGCTATTGGAGATAAAGTGAGAATGAAGAGCGTCGACGAAAAACTGCAATGGCACAATGACAATCTAAGACGCGTAGGGACACTATCTTTGAATCCGAGAGATCAGGAATTCAGGACTTAGAGCCATCGATTTCATGACGCAATTGATTAAAGGAAACGAAAACAAGTGGCAGTCGTGAAATTGTTAAAACTTGTTATATTAAATATTCAAAATAAACGCGAAAATATTTGCAAATTAAGTTTTCCGATTGAGTGTGCTCTTGTGGTTGGGTAAACTTGTACAATGTAGGCGGACAAAAAGCAGCATCAGGGAACTTGGACAACCTTTAGTTAGATAGATCTCGAAAGGGCATTCTTATGGTTGTAGGACTTTTTGTCGAAACGGTGCAATCAACCTGTCCCTTGCTAACTCTCATTTGTATTTCTTTTTCTTCAAATGCTAGGCTGCTCTTTTGTTTCTCGCTGAGATAGCAACTGGTTACTGGTTGGCTCTTATATTTCAGGCATCTCATGTTGTTAGTGAGGTATGTGTTTGAAGGTGCTCTACAGATTGAAGTTTTATTTACATGAAACGATACGTATGGCTTTTATCGTCGTGATATCGTTATTGGAGAGTAAGAATACCACGGCCGCTCGGGTAACTTTAGTTAAAAACCTGGAAAGAGAAGAAAACATCTGAAAATTTGACTTCACATACCACCATATCTTTAAGTTAAAATCTGAAGATTTTTCCATTTCTGTTTAAATATGTTTCATTTTCGGGGGATAGGTTCGTCTTTCATTTCAGCTGATGCTTCACCAAGGATAGGTATTTATCGCCACCTAACGTCATATCATTAAAGACACAAGCAATCTTCTTCACCTGAAACTGAGAGGCTAAATTTGTGCTGTTACTAACAAACTTTTCAGGTTGAAACATAAATTTTTTTAAATATCTTTTTTCTGATCGTGCACCACCTCGTAATTTACAACTACATCTGGTTTAAATGAGGTATAACAAATGCGATCGCACACTAAAATCATCCATTCCCCTTTTTTCTGTTTTAATGTCCAGGTCGAATGGCCTCAGCCTGATGAAAAAGGAGTAATGAAAAGGGATTGGTACGTATCTTCTCTCTGTTAACCTGTTAACGAAGAGATGAGGCACATTTCAACAATATTGGTGACTGTTAATAACGCTCACCAGAGACTTTCGTGTTATCTTTAAGGGCAGAGCTTCAGATCGAGTCAACATTGGACTATGCAACAGACAGTTGGTTCTGGAATGTTTTTACAGGTGATGTATAGGATCCTTCTAGTTAAGAGAGTTGTAAATAAGGTTTGTCTGCATGAGTTTTTGTCATCCCGTTTGGCTGGCTGTTTTTTTGTTTTGTATTGTTTTGTTTTGTCCCTGAAACCTCCTTTGTTTGTAAGAGTGTGAGCAAAAATGTTCATATCGGGCATCTAGGGCCTGGTCAATTACCTTTGATTCTATTACACATCAGACAAAACCCTTCCAGTAGTTATTTCGCGAGTCATGCCCGGTATACACAGTCTAGATTCTTTTACGGTTTCCATTCATCATTTGTGTCATTCAGTGCCGTCTATGTAATATAAGACAGTCTCATGCGGGAGCTTAATCATGCACATTTAACATAACCAACCAGTCATCCTTTCCCCTATTTCCAGGAGCTCTCAATCATCAAACAGCCCATCACCTCTTCCCGGGCGTGTGTCAGTTTTACTATCCTCAGATTACTCCCATCGTCCGTGAGACGTGTAAGGAGTTTGGGGTGAGGTACAATTACAAGGAGACCTTCTTTCAGGCGCTTGGTGCTCATATTTCACATCTGAAAGTACTTGGACAAGAGCAGGACAGACCAATTGTCACCAGGCCTGAAGTAAAGGCGGGGTGAAAACTGAATGTGGGCTGCTGAGGTTTTCATAGTTGATCTATAGAGCAAGCAAGTTTTTTTTTTTTTGGCGACTTGACTTAGCTAAGTGATTTGGTTTTAGGGTAATTTTCAATTGTGTCGAAGGTGATCCGAGATGCATTGATTTTGCTTTAGTTCTAAAAAATTATTGGATGATGTTTTTTCTCGATATCCAGAATAATCAAGGTCGAGGTAGGGGTTATCAGCCTCAGTCTTCGGCTGATAACCCTTACCGAGAACAGACATGAAGCGCACAAGCTTGGAGAAGAGTACGCTGTCCTAGTGGTACTCAAATATCACTGCGCGCCAACCTTTCACTTTCGGGAGTCTGCCTTTAAGGTTAATTGTAAGTATAGTTGAGTTAGTGATGAATTAATTGAGCGGTCCAATTGCAAGCTTGACGACTACACTTTCGGATTAATACTCAAATCGAACTGTTGATGATCAATAACGTTGGAGAATTTTTTCATTTGTAACTAATATAATGATTTTGTTACTAAATTAAAGTTGTTTCTATGATGAATGAGGTGTGACAAAAATCTACTGTCCTGTGGTAATACCTTTGCGAAGAATGTGCTCTCTAGAGTGCTTTCCATTAAATTTAGCACGATTGTTAACTATACACAGGGCATAAACGACGAAATTATAAGGTGGGGTCAGTGCTTGATTTCGTGACCGAGTGTGCCCATTATTCTAAGGTTTTTTTTTCCTTTGCACTGACTTTTGAGCTAAATGTTCTAAACTTAAACCACATAAAAAAAGTTGCTTTAATATGGCAACAACAGTGTTTATCGCTGAAATCTGGAGTCTATCACTCCCCGACGCACATCCTTTACGAAACGATACAACAAGTCAGAAGACACAAGATCATCTTAGGTCCAACACAGTTGGTTCCACTCGAGCCAGAACTAGTCTGATACTGGCGTGACACAACATATTATTTAACACACAACCTAAAATCACGTGGTCGACCTGGCTTGCTCTCTCGTGACTCCAGCAGTCTTGGGCATTTTCTTACTGGAGCTGTCTTCTAGTTCCTTGGCTTTGTAATAGTGAGGCGCTACCTCCAGTAGCCATTTGTTTTCGATCTCTATGATCTAGTAAGAAAGTATTCATTTCAGCTTCTGGTTAAATGCCAGCATGCTCCTGAAGGCGGCAAAGCTAGCTTGTTTCTTGGGATTGGAAACGTCAAACGTACTATAAAAGACTTACGGGAGATAGCTACTATGGGTTGGAAGCACGACTTTTCGGACAGTTATTAACGCAATGGTCTGACAAATCAGGGTTTTACCTAGGAAGGCAGGCTAATTTTGCCTCGTATTTTTCATGAGCTTCAAGAGATCGATCAACTTTTTTTCCGTTCGTTCCTGGTACTACAAGAAAAGCGCTTCAACCGACCAAAAGCGTCCGTTCAGTTTCAATTTCGTGCTCGTTAATAACTCTTACATCAAAAGGCTAAGATTTCCTAGCAAACCAAGATTTTTTATCAGATATGTTCCACTCCAATCGTTAGTATGTTGACCTTCCTTCATTTTCCGCACTGCACAGACCTATTTGCAGCAAAAAATATCTTGGATGTAAGAGAGAGATACACACATGATGTACACACATGATAACGATGATATAATTATCGCGTGATTCTTGGTGTTCAGATTCGGGAGCGGGACCTTCCCTACCTGTCTCATGAACTCCTTAGTGGTGAACACAAGCTCGTGGTAGATCACCCATCTGGGCTGGTCCTGGAACAGACTGCTGTTCGGGTGAATCATGACTGTCTGCAAAGAAGAACAATTAAAAAAAAAAAAAGATAACAAGGGGTCTTGAGATTCCTGCTGTCTATACATGTATTTCACCACATTGAAAAGGTAATCCAGTCCATCACACGCTACCAATCTAATTCGTTAATACCACCCGTATCCATTCGTGGGGATAAAGAAAAAAAACATGGACGCCGTTGGGAAGTGATTTTCCCGCGCGCTGGTTGACCCCTGATCACTGATCCTTAAGCTAAGACATCAAGCGAACAGTAAACGACACGTCACCCACTCATGCTCTCTTCTCATGCGTCTCAGGAATTTCTACGAAAGTGAACTTACCTGCGTAATAAACTCCTGGCGTTAACAGCTTCTATACATCATTCCTAAATATATCCAAAGCAGACTATTTAAAAGTTAGTTAGTTAAGGCACTTTACCTGTTGATGTTTCACCGTCCGATACTGGCCACTTTTGCCTAGTCTGGCAGTGTGATAAAAGTAACCCGATGTGATCGCCTAAAAGGAAAGGATACGATGATTTACGACAGCAAAGATGTGTCGAGATGTAAATGAGAAACGTCACTCTCTTACCCTTACATGAAGCTCCACAAACACGCCCAAGATTGATAGCTTATTTGATAAAACTATATTTTACCCATAATCTACGATGCGCACGGTCGCAATCAGAAAGTTTGTATAAATTATTAAAAGTACATGACCTAACCGTACGTAAAATAATTTAACAAAGAAGTGAGCGGATTTTTCTTAGGCATTAATAGAAAAGCATTTGGAAGAAATCCATATAAAGTTGTCCAACAGAAATGATTTTGGAAAGACGTAGCTACAAGATTGTTTTTGCTAGTCTTGTGCGACGTGCAAAACAAAACCTATGAAGAATACAAACTATTTTCAAGGTAGCAATGAAACTACGAGCGAGAAAGCAATCAACCAAGAGAAAATAAGGATGGCTAATGTTGAAGAAAATTCAAACGAGAAATCAGATGCAAGTTACTCTAAAGGTTCAAAGGGTCAACTGATTTCATTGACCTCTAACCTTTCTAATAGGAACGGAGTCATTTGGGTTCGACGTAATTTCAATCTCTACTCTCTCCATCAGCCCCTCTAGCTGCTCCCTAACGTCTCGTGCTCTCTTCATAGAGCGATGCTGTATGAAATTCTCGTAGCACCACTGAGTAGAGTACCCAGTCTCCACCCACTGATCGTACACGTTTAACAATGTCAGATGATCACCGCCTGGACGAAAGAAGTTTACGCGCGCGTTGTCTGCGTGTACCACTTTATCCTTGGGACGGTAGAAAATGGCGTTGTTCACTGATAACATAGCAGTGATGGTAAGAATCTGTTCGACACATTTGTACCTGAAAGAGAATTGAAAATGACAATCTGGCTTAAGTCCTTATAACGCAGACTACGCGAACATTTGTGCAAATGTACCTAAGGTTTTCCAAGTTTGATTGTTTCCAATAGTCAAAATTGTCTTTCTCTTCCATTGAACTTTGACTGTCAACCACCTTCAAAATGATCACAATCAACATATCTAAAAGTTGTTCTTAGCGCAGTTTAACACACGAGATTCAAATTGAAGTCAGAAAAAATTTAGCGCTCCATAGGGAAGTGACCAAGAAGTGGTGAAGGCAGCTTGTTTGGAATGATCAGCTCCGTGACCGCTGGAAAAGCTTAAGGTAAATTTTTGGCAAATCTAGTAAGCAACGATAAAAAGGTTGAAAAAAGCATATTTTAAGTTTTCCTACTTTTCTGATGCTATCAACATTTTAGACATTGTTGGTTCAACGGGAAATTCTGCCATGCGACGTCCAAGCTGAAAGAAAGAGAGAAACAAAGAAACAAGGACAGTTAGAGAGTTTCAATTATTCGTTGAACGATCTTGTCTAGCCCCCCTCACTTCTAAGCGTGATAGGTGCTTGAATTATCCTTATTAGAACGGAGAATATTATCAATGTAGGGCTTAATCACCAACTTCTAATAACATAACTACACTGGTATCAGTTGCAGAAATTCTCTTTCCGATCCTGGAGCATATTCTTCACAGATGCAGGTAGTTTTAGAACAAGAAGAAATCTTCACTGTCACAAACCTTTGTAAGTTCCCCGTGATGGTTCAGTCCTCCCAGGGCGTACAGCTGCTCGAGAGCAATAATAAGGGTCTCAGCCGGAGGGGGGTCCATAAAATCAAAATGAATCAAATCGTTGATACCCAAGCTCTTCAGGAGTAGAACTACATTTCCCAAGTTAGTTCTCTGGATCTAAGGAAGGTGAAACAAAGCGATTTAAGACCCTCCCTGCCACAAAAAGACGAAGGCACATCGTGGTAGTTTAAACAGTTTACATACTCCATATTCTCTGAATGTACAAATATGACCATGGCTTGGCCCTCAACACAATTATTATCTTTAAACATTACGGGTAAACATCCCCATCCCCCGAACCCACGTCCGCCATAAACCTGTCTTTTCTCAAAAATACAAATCATCCGTGCATTTGGAAGACAACGTGATAGAATGCCTAATTATGAACATAAGGCTACGAATAAAACCCAGACTTCTTGATACACATCTTGATTTGGTTTTTCAGCTGAGATGATAATTAACAAATACTCACCGAAGTGGAGGTAGCCAACGGTGGATATTTACCGAGCCGTACACTTCCCACTGTTATGTTGCCGACAATGATTAGGGAGATTAAATTATTTAGTGACTAGATATACAATAATCTTTACAGCAGTACTTATCTTCAGCAACAGCTGATAAATTGAACGAATAGTATTACTTCGGGGATGGTGTTCTCCTCCAGCTCGTTCTTGTATGCCCAAGCTGTGAATAACCTGAAACACTTGCCTGCTGCCACGCGACCCGCACGACCCGCTCTTTGATTGGCTGACGCCTAGGAAACGTCATAACAGTTAGTGGGTTACTTAACCACCGCAAAATTCATCAAAACTTTGACGTTTTTGAGCCACTTTGGAGAGAAAGTTCTGAGACCAAGACTTACTTTTGAAATAGGTGTCACCACTAATGACTCCATTCCTGTGCGTGGATTGTAACTCTTCTGTTTACAAAATCCAGGATCAATAACATATATTATACCATCAATGGTTAGCGACGTCTCGGCGATATTGGTAGCTAAAACAACCTGTGAAAAAATGTTGCCAGAAATCTCTTTTACTTGTTTCGGAAATAGGGGTTGAAACGCTTAGAGATGAAGAAAAAAACACATTTTTTTAATAATCACCGTTCTTGTTTCGTGCAAAGGTTTATACTCAATCTGAAAGCCTCCTAATTTAAAGAATGAAAAAATGAAAGAGTTCGTAAAATTCCGGAAAAACAAGAAGTCAAAGATATGTTCTGACACAGCACGACTAGTTTCGAAAGAAGATAATCTTACTAAACCCTAATCAAAATGCATCTGCTCAGGCATCATGACAAAAGAAAATGGTGGATGTAAAGCCAGGAGGATTCGTGAGATTCAGTGGGCGAGGGTAGTCCTTTCAGAATTCGCTTTTCAACCTTAGTCTTTCATAGAAAAAAAAAAATTAAGAAAATTAAAAATCATATTTACCTTTCTTCCCCCAGGAGGGGTGGGCTCGAATATCTTGGCTTGTAAGTCCGACGGTAGATTAGCGTAGATGGGCAGAATAATCAGCTCATTAATTTTAGAGCCCAGTTTGCGCGTGCGCTCCTGTAACAACTCCTGTGACGTCTCGATCTCTTCCTGGCCAGTCAAAAACACCAGGATGTCCCCCGGGGGTTGGGTCACATGAATCTGTAGCACAGTCACCACCGTAGCTTCCAGATAATCAGCTTCTGGAGCCTGGAAAATGAAAGGTAGTAATTTACTAAATTACTTAATTTTCACGGGGAACGATGATTTTCAGAATAGATCTGACAAAGCATGTGGTTGATTTTTTACCCATCCGAAACTAACTGAACCAAAACAAAAGCGACGACAGGAGATAGCATAGCAAGTTTGCTCGTGATAGAAAATGACTGCTTGTATTCGTCACGAACGCCGCGGAGGGTCCTTGAAGAGGAATCAGATTTTGTTGTTTAAGAGTAAAACATCAATCCCAAGACGCCCAAGGGGTTATAAAAAGTTTCCCCTTAATAGAGAACTTCTCGTGATGAGGGAATGGAAAGGGGGAATTAGCAACAAAGATAAGATAAGAATTAATTATTGTACAAAAGCAGAAGCTTTAATTGTTTCTTAAAGAAAGTGTGTTTGAATATAAGCGTTCCAATTGAAGGACTCAAGGCATCTGGCTAAGCTTTGGCATGGTTAACATTCTTATACTAACATTTAAAACTACAATGATCTAGTTTTCTAGAAGAAAAACTACACTGTGCCTCCTGGAAAACCTTGTTCATATTGATTCAAGTAAATAATCGGTATGGAAATAAACGCTATCTAGTCTTTAAAAAAGCCAGGCTATTGTCATTGATGTTTCACCAGAGAACAGTATACTCCATCTTAACTTAAGAAGTTCAGAAGATACACAGACAAGCTAAAATACGATTTTGTAGGAGAATGACAAAGAAATGGGATATGTTCCTTCACCTTTGTGTAATAAATATTCACAGGAAATCGTCGACCAGGAATTCTAAAGATGGGTGCATCATCAAAGAACTGGAAGGTAAAACGTACAAGGTATGTTATACTTAACAGTTTGGGTCACTTCCAAGGGAGGGAATTTCAAAGAAAGTTTTGCCCACCTACCTCTCCCCTAACTCAACAACAGTCAGTTGATAACAAGTTAGGGTTAATGTTGGGTTAAGGGTGGACAGTTGTCCAGATACTGATATTGATCCAGTTCTTTTTCGTTCTGGACAAATCCCTCTGTATAAGGCTACTACGTTGCAAAAAGGCTTTATCTCGAAATCGACACGTTAGGAGTAGGCTGTTAAAGGTAAATTGTAGCAGACACTTTCAAATATAAAGACTAGGCTTTCACACGATCTTCTCCTTCGAAAGATCAAATTGACGTTCAATAGAAAAAGCTGAAGAAAGACTTCATTCATTCATCACGAACAATGGACAATGAGAGAAACTTTAGGTCACCCATTAAGGTTCAACACTCGGGCTTTCCGATTTTGCCCTTCTCTACTACTGAGCCACGAACTCGTTCATGAGCCAAGCCACAAACTAGATTCATGTGACAAGCGTCACCTGAACACCGCTAGGACCAGAAACGTCAAAGGCATCATGTTCGCGGATTTCAGAACGTTCGTCACTTACGAACCTAGTATTTAGTCTAGCTCATTACCAAGTTGTCTGACCGCGTAATCGGAAGGTATGAGAATCGATTCGCATTAGTCCCCTCGCGAATGTTTATCCTCTTGAGCTCCCCTAATCTTTCTTTGCTGGCCCGAGAAACGAAAAAAAAAAAAACCGGTCCTACGGGCTACTATGTGGTCGATAATTACGTTACTTATCAAGACATGCCTGAGAAAACTTGTCAGCATCCAAAGTCGCACTGGATATTAGAAGTTTAAGATCTTTTCGGAATCGAGCAATGTCCTTCACCAGGCCAAATAGCACATCAGTGTGGAGGGTTCGTTCGTGAGCTTCGTCGATAATAAGCACACTGCGAACAGAAACGTGACGCTAATTAAAGTAAAAGTTGATCTAGATATCACACACGTACAATTTTCATATCCGGCTGCAAAAAAAACATCTAGAAAGTTGGTCACTTCTCCCTTTTCAAAACTACACAGAGAGCCTATCTTACGAAAATTTTCTCCTAATGTGCTTTGCTTCCGACCATGGTCGGCGTCATTTTGAAAAGTGCTTAACGACCTGGCTCCCTATCTTTGGCGTAATAAAGTCACACTCCTCTAAGTTGCATCTCTCAGTGATCTTTTGGAACAAACGGGAGCTACACATGAAGGTACTCTTGACTAGGATAACGTTTTTGCTTTGGCGATAACCAAGCTTTGCGGTTTTACGGATGTTCGGCCTGGAAACTGGAAATTTCGGCGTTCGGAGCCGAAATGAGGCACATTCAATGACGATTTTCGTATGATTAGGTTTATTTCTTGGAATCTCAAACCGAAGTGAGAGTTCGTTTCTTATTAATTCTTTTAAAAGGGGGAGGGGGCGAGGATAGGAAGTTTCATATTTCTTAGAACATACTTATAACAACTTAGTTGCATCTAATCAAAGAAGCTATCACAAAGTCATGTCGACTTGCTGAGAAACAAGTCGATGAGAACCCAAATACAACGAAAGTTGCGATATGATTGTACAGGAAAAGATTAAAGGGCTGGTCATTGAATTTACGACTACAATTGGTGAGAATAGATTTGCCGTTTTAAAGGGAAACCTCGCCGGCAAATAGCCATTGGCTAAAGTCACTGTACCTGTATGTAAGAGCAAGATAGTATGGGTAGATCTGTTAACAGTAATGTACAGTGTATATAAAGTATGATACGTTGTAACAAACCTGTATCCAGCCAGATCGGGTTCACCCAAGAACTCACGCAGCAACATTCCATCAGTCATGTACTAAAGATCCAATTTCAATAATTACAAATTAAGCTAGGCATTGATCTCTATGAAGTGTCGACAGTAATCCGCGATTGCATTGATTTTGCATAACTCCGCTCTGTAATTGGTCTAAAAACTCGCGCCACCCTTTCCACCAATCAAACGCGCAATTAAAACCAACCGTGTCTCGGTTTCCCGCCTTGTACCGCGCTTTAGGCAGCTTGCTTGTTCTTGCTTTGAGCGCAAATCTCCTTCTTGCGATATTTTCCTTTGCTCTGATTGGCCTTTGGTTAAGGTTTTACGACAATCACTTTAAATCCACACTACATTAAGTAAGATGTTTACCTCCTCGCCGTACCATAACACCATTAATACGTAAACTGGAATTGCCAGTGTCAAAAGAACACTTTCTCTGTAAATTGTTACAACAGATAAATCTATTTTGCTGTTTCTAACCTTTGTTTCGATGCGTTCCCCTTAGAAAGAAAACTGCAGGTCTTGGAACCCATGTATTGTAAGGTTACACATTTTGATAACAGCACGGTAGGTTAACCCTTTAACCCCTAAGAATGACCAGCATCTAATTTCTCCTTACAATATCACCCCTGAATCACACATTAAGGTCACGAGAATACGAGAAATGATCACCAAATAAAGACGCTCTTGATTTTCATACAAATTCTCCTTGCCAGCACCTTAAAAAATGTAAAGCGAACAGTATGGAGAATATGCATACTGATGTTAGAGTGTAAAGGGTTAAAAGTCTTACCTTTATTATGGTTCGCTCTGAACAGCAATCTTCGAAACGGATACTGTATCCAACCTGAAAAAGAGTTCAAGTCTTAAAACATAAAAAGAGATAAGAAAAATCCAATATCGGATAAATGAGCACATCTACTAGAAAAAGGACAAAATTTCCCTGAAGTACTTCAAAAGCTTGAATTTCTGCAACCATTTGGTAACCACTAAACGTAAATTTTGCTTATACTCTTTCCTTTTTAGGGCCCACGATATTTCACGCACACAACATTTCAACGCAAAATCTTGCAACATTGTTGGATCGTGTTGTGAGATGTTGTGAAGGAGCTGGCCAAACGCACACAACAATTTGACCATTTCCAAACTTGGTCCAATAACATCAAACAAGCTGGCCAAACGTGTGCAACACGTTGTGCGCAACATGTTACAAGATGTTTCGTTGAAATGTTACGTGCGTGTGGCCGGACCTTTGCTGTTGAAACTTGTACCTCATTCCCTAATTTTGTACCCATCTCTTCGGATACTCTTGCAGCTACGCTCATTGCTGCGACTCGTCGAGGCTGTGTACAACCAATTTTCATCCTCCCCTTGGTAAAGCCCTAAAAGAAAAGATGCCAGGAACACAGTTAAAAAAATGTGTGGTGCATTCACCCTAAAAGATTCCCAATATGTGAATTAATCTTCCTGATTCTATTAACCATGGATTGCCATGTAAGGAGGCAAAAGACCACTCAGTGGGCTGACAGAAATGAAAGATGCAATTATTTGCAGGCTACTGAAACAATAAACTTTGTCTTGCTCCCAAACTTTGGCCCCGTAAGGCAGATTGCAGTAACACCTGACTAGTGAATGGAAAGCACAAGATCCAATCAAATCAAAGCATGAATAAAGGGGGTAAGTTTCTAAAAAAACTGTGGTGCTGCGTCGGTAGGAGAGTATAACAGGGTAATTCAGTATTATCACCTGAGTTGATAACGTATATTGGCCACCGTTAAGAGGTCCAAAGCTGACGTATGAACATTAACTAGTGAACAGTCTTCACTTTAAAGAAGGGCTGACGCTCGAAACGTCAGCTTTCAAACTCTTAACGGTGGCCTATTTACGTTATTGACTCACTTGAGTCAAAGCATGAATCGTTTGCGCTTCATTCTTCCGTGATTTTTTAAAAAATCTGGTTCTCCTGAGGGGACCATTTCGTTTATTTGGCATATCCCGCGGGATAAAATAGGGTTTACTTCATTATTTTTTGATGTACTACCTGTTCAATAATATCACACGTTATATAAGCATAGCCAGTTATGATGCAGTAAAGCACCGTAGCCACTTTCTCCTCCCCATCACTAACATGATGAAACACTGTAAAACTCCGTGACAATCACAAGGACACCTACACAAGAGTTGCAACCTCGCATACAGCTGCTCATAAACGTTCACATATGAAGATTTTTTAAAATTAAAAACACCAGAGCCTGTCTTAAATAGTGAGGAATGAACACTGGACATACTGCTTCATGAAGGTATTGCGGAATTTGAGTGGTCTTTCCTGAGCCTGTCTCTCCTTCAATGATAATAACCTACAATTGAAAACAATGAGTCAAGATGAGTTCCTTAGACCTTTACAACCTAACATCAGTTAACATTTCCTAAGGTCCTGACAAGGAGAACTTGTTTAACAATCACAAGCTTCTTGAGTTGGTGATAATTTTATCTTTTCTCATGATCTTTATGTTTGATATAAGGGTGATATTGTAAGGACAAATTAGATGGAAGTCACCTTTAAGGGCTGTTTTTATTCATTTAGCTTCGCCTAATTATCTCAGGCAGGGAGACCACTACAGCTTTAGCCAGTTACAGAGGATCCCGCGTTAACAAGGCCAGACCCCCCCCCCTCCAAATTCCCAGTAAACAGGCCAGACCACATCACAGTAATCTCGTGAGTGGGTTCTTTAACATCCCCTGCCTAACCAAAATTACTAATTAATAGAAGCAGGAGACGGAACCTACGGTTTATTCTTCCTTATCCAAGAAGACTAGAATGTCTATCCTTTTCTTGACATTATAGAAAGGTAGCACATTCTCCTCAGTTATTTTAAGACCTTGAGTGTTGGTCTGGCTGGAGCTCGAACCCTCGACCTCCTGCATAACAGTCCAGTGCTCTAGCCAATTGAGCTAACCAGGAAGCGGTCGGGCTAAAGGGTAAACATGGAAGAAAAATCTGGTTAAGCTATGTCAGCCTCTCTCTCTCTTGCATGATAATCGTGCAGAGAACTGATTTGATGCAAAAACAAGGTGAAATTTCTTCAGTTTTATTAGGTGTACAGAGGCCCAAAAGCTAACCATAGTTGGTACTCTCATTTGTTACCATGGAGAAAGGCATTTTGGTGAACGTAGAAAATGCATATCTGCCTACAAGATGACAAAAATTTCCTTCCAAATCAAACAGAAAGAATGGCCAGTTCTAAGAAACACTAAGTAGGCTGTCATTCATAACCCTTACATTTGATAATAATAATAACAGTAATAATTATAATACCAATACAAATAGCACCATTTAGCTAATCTTCCATAGCACCTTAAAATCGTGATGCTAGGGTAAGAACTAAAATCTAAACCTACATGTACCAAGATAAATCTGCAAAGCTAAAAAAATATATTTAAACCCATTTATCAAAAATAACATGTACAAGTGATATTAGCTTCTTTAAAAAGATAAGCCTTTAAATTCTTATTAAAACTACATGCAGCTGCTGATGGAGATTTTTTAATGCTAAGAGGCAATTTAATCCATAGCCCTGGTGCTGTGGTAATAGCTGGATAATCCTTTACTGGTGCTAGGCACATTGCCCAAAAGTTGAAAAGAAAGAAACTATTGTCAAAGCACAAGTACTGTACATTGTTAACATTTTCATTCTGACTTAAGAATCAGAAGAATAACCCCTCAAAGAAGCAAACCAAAATAATGAAGAAGAATAATGAAGAAGATCTTTGAAGGCTAAAACAAGAGTCTGTATCCTTCATTCATTACATAATTACCTGATGTTCTCTGATGGCTTCAATAAGGCTTTCTCTATATGGGTAAACTGGTAAACTTTTTTTTGTCTGTAAATATTTAACAAAAGAGAGATGCCCAAAAAAAACTGCAATTGACAAGCACATTTCATTCAGTGACTCAGTCTGCCAGCCAGTGAGTCAGTCACTAAATTCATTTTAAAAGAGCATTCAATCAACAAACCAAAACAAGACTACAAGATTTAAATTACCTCTTCAATTGTAAGTCTTTTCTTTTGATAGTCATTCATCTCTGGTTCCTGTAAATCCACCAAACAGTGACAAAGCTGATATTTTTCTTCTCTTTTTTTAACTACTGGTTAATAATATGTTATTCAAGATTAGAAGAATTGTACAGCTCTGCATGTAGATCTCACCTGCTTCTCTTTTGTCCCTGGAATCTGTTCAGCCATTACAAAATTAATCTGATCTTCATCCACAACAAGATCATAATCCTTTTTCTGCATGGGCAGAAAATTAAAAAAAACAAATAAAAAAAAATGAAGAAGGAATTAAATTACATCACCGTTAGTCACTTTGCATAATAAATTTATTTTACATGTGCATCATTTGAAACATGCAGGCACTTCATGCCAGTAAAACGTAGATACAGTACACCTTTGCATTACACAAACCTCACTTTAACTATGTCTATCTCTACAGTCCCCTTGTATTGAAGCTTAGAAAATTAATGAGCCCCCCTCCCCTCCCCTCTCCATGATCTTAAGCATTACCCATTGAAGTCACTTACCTTGTTCTTGTCCTTGGCGTCTTTGGCGCCAAATTTCATAACAGCATAACCAAGCTTGTCTTCCTCCCACTTCTTCTGCTCGTAATTAGGTCCCAGTTCTTCCACTGCACTCTCATCATATTTGGCAGGTTTCTGATTTTCCTGTGGCATTTCGTATCTCTGAACTTTTTCCAGTTCTCCAGCTTTGGCATGCTCTGCTGCCAAATGGTAAATTTTTTTCTTATATTCTCGTTCATGTTTTTCCCTTTTGCTGATCTGAGCATCCTCAAACAAGTACTCATCATCACGAATGTCCTCCTGGAGCATTTCGAGTTTATCCACCCGCCGTTTTTTGACGTAATCTCGGCGAGACTTTTTTCTCAAATCAGGAATCTGTAAAGATATACACAAAACTATGTAATTCATGAAATAAACCTTATATGAAATGAGATACAGATCACTTTTCCTTCAGCTGTGAACAAATTGAATATGGTAGCTCAAAATTTACTGTCAAACTCAGAGATGCTAACAATGAAAATGTTTGAGGAATGTGTAAAATGGATAGATATCTGCCAGCAAAACTATTGGTGAGCTCAGCATGTATTAGAAAATTATATAAAAAAACAATAGTTAATATGTCATAGCTCTCACCATTTTCTTTCTATCCTCCTCGTCCATTTTAAGTCTTTTAGCTGCCTCCTCAAAAGCCTTAAGAGTAAAAAGAGAAAAACTTAGACCTGTACACCTCAACATCAGTATACTTATTCCTCATATGGTACTCTATACATTTCCGAGGAGATGACAAGGAGAATTTGGTGGTGATCATTTCCTTAATTCATGTGATCTTACTGTGTGATCCAGAGGTGATACTGTAAGGAGAAATTAGATGCTAATCACTCTTAGGGATCAAAGGATTACATACACTACTAGTACATATATTTCATAAACCACTAATGCACATTCCTGTGAAAAAAAAATTCACTTCTTTATGCATATGTTTTTTTAAAACTAATGGCCAAAAGTCACCTCACAGATGAATGATATTTGGCCAAAAAATGGCCCCAATTTTAAAATTTCATTAATGGCAGTATCGGCTTTAAACAAATATTATTCAACTGGAGGCTTTCCAAAATAAACTAGAGAGTTTGTAAGGTCCATGTCCTAGTGCCTCGTTGTAATGTCCATTATTTTACACTCAATTTCAAAATATTAAAATCCAGCTATAACAAAAACATTTGCACAACAGCTGACAAAATGAAATCACAACATACAGATCTGCAGAAAATTTGAGGTATAGACTTAAAATACAAAGTATAGAAGAATCCAAATTCACACATCAGCCAGTAAGGCTCAGACTGCAAAGTGAGTTGTACTAAACTTGCTCGCAAAAATAAACTTCAATGTGCACAAACACTACATGTGAAAACTTTCATCAAAGCAATCATACCCAGCCAGGGGTTTCAATAAAAGCTAGTTACTGGCTTAGTCACTTCTACTGGTTGTGATACCTCTCACCACCATTGGTTTTGCCTGAACTCCTGCCTGTTTGCATTTTTCCTTATAGTACAGGTGTCTAGCACACCATTGGCAGCCACTTTTGGTAAAAGTTACTGAAACCTCTGCCCCACAGTACTGTCCATTTCCAAAAAGCCCACATCTAATTCAAAAATGAGTGTGTGTAAAATGCCTTTAAAATTACAATAATTTGTTTTGTTCTTTCAAATGAAGCTCATTCTTACAAGAAAGGCTTTGCACTTGGCCTCTCTGTAATTGGATCTTGGAAGTGGACTTTCACTACAATGTCATGGTACTACTAAGATACCTTCTTGTCTGATCTCTCCATTATATTCCTGGTCTTCTCCTTATCACGTTTCTTCAGTCTATCAGCAAACGCATCCCTCTCTTCCAAGTCTTTTCGCCTTTCCTCTTCTTCCCTTTCCCATTCATCCGAGTCTGACTCATTACCAACATCCTTTGAAGCTCGTGTATCATCACCAAGAGAACCCTCATCAGAGCTGGATGATTCTGTTTTCCTTCGCAGATGCTTCCGTTTTCTATCCTTTTTAGATGCTTTGGCTTTACTCATTTCCTCTTCTTCGTCATCGTCATCAGACACCAATGAATAACCCTGAAACTTCTTTCTCTCTTCAAGAATGGCTCTTTCCTTCGCCCTGTACGGGTGTTCTACTGGCTGTGTCTTATGCGGTAGCTTCGACCACAGCTCTTGAGCAAAGGAAGTCATCTTGTTGTCTACTTCTGATACCTTCTGTACGAGAGATTCAACACTGGTGGAATTTTTGGCTAGTCCGATCAGGTATTCTACCGTGTACCTATCCGAGAAACCTAGTACATCGTGTAGTTTATCGGAAACCCACGTCGTTAACTCAGCCATGCTACCTCTTATAGCTAATTAGCGAGAAACTTCATAACAACACAACGAAATATAGGGTGACTGACACTTCAAACAACAAAGAACGTCCTCTGACGTTTACGTTTTTGTAAACCTGCATGCATTCAACAAGTCGGCCATCTTTACTTTTGACCTCGAATGGCACTCTGGGATCTACCAACCGCTGTTCAGTAAAACATGATCGTTGATGCGGAGCAAAATGGAGGCTGAGTTGAGGATTCGGAACGCGATCGAAACCGACGTGGAGGAGATTTACAGAATCCACACTGAAGCCATCAAAAAGAAGTGTTCTACTCGCTATGGCGCGGAAGATGTTTCTGCTTGGGTTGCTAGACAGGAAAAAGCGAAGTATCTACCTTTTATAGTAGCGAATGAAATCATAGTAGCAGAGATCGTTCAGAGCAGAAGAGTTGTGGGGTTTGGCCATCTAACTGCAGATACAGGAGCAGATTCTGACGAAACTGCTGATGGAAAAGCTATGCAGATCAGGGGACTCTTTGCTGATCCTGACTGCGGTGTTAAGGGGGTGGGAACCGCGCTGGTAAAGGAACTCGAGAACAGAGCAAAGGAATTTGGAGCCGTGCGCGTCAAGGCGAACTCTTCTCTAAATGCTGTTGAATTTTACAAGAAATGTGGTTTCTTCGCACTCGACATTACACGCCATCAGATATCAGAGCAGTCTTGTTTGCAATGTCAAAAAATGATAAAATACTTGTGACCTCGGGAGCATGATGTTTGTGTGACTATTAACGTGACGGAAAAGGAAAGTCACTGAAATAGCTGCTTCTCTGCCCTCTTTGGCAAGACAATACCATTTCATGATTATGCCTTGATTTTCGAAGTTAACATTGTTGATTTTAAACCTCATCCATAGACATATGATCTAACAGTTTTCATCTCAGAATTTGTTAGTTTTGACAGCTAAAGTCAACATGAATATGAACAATTGTGCTCGGAGAATGAATTTTCATCATTTTCAAAGTTACCAGCTCCAGACCTCCGTCGAGTTGTTATCTATATTTGGCTCATCTGAGACAACAGATATGGAGCTAGCGTATAGGTTATATGCCCTCCTTTCAGCGTGATTTGGAGCAGAAACGTATGTCCACTTTACTCTTTAAAATTAAAACAAATTTTTCATTTACTAAAAAATTGCAAACTTGAAGCCGGGACATTGCTAGCTCGATCCAGACGATTTGGCTTATATAAGACATCAGACATGCAACTAACGTATAGTTTATAGGCTTAGTTTAACTCTTAGGGTAATAAATGGTCACATCTTTTTTGGACTTTTTTTTTTTATATCAATCTACAAAACTATTTTCAAAACTAACGGTGCTTGCGGTACTGTTATAATCACTGTTTGCAACACAGACAATACTTACAAAGCTAACATCATTTGCAACACTAACATTAGTTAAGTACTAATAGCACTTGTTTGAATACTAATCTTATTTTACTAATTTTCTTTTTAAAAACCTATTTACTTGCCTATACCTCCAGTTACTTTGCTTTAAATTGAATCGACCAAACACCATTGGTATCGCCTCAGACTGTATTGATAACTTGTGTTTCTATCTACAGTCATCTTGTGTTGGTGGTTTAACTCTCTAAATAAAGTTGTGCTTTTGAACGCCTTGAGGTGGACGACAGCGTCTCTCCATCTTGTAACAGCAAATCAACCAAATTTTTCCTTACTGGAGGAAACGAGGATACTTATAGTAAACACGATACGACAAAGACATGCCGTAGGATCGAAATGCAGAAATCACTGTCAAGCGCAAACAAATTAGGGTATCAAAGTAGGACGCGTCATGCAACACAACCCATCGGCGAGCTCGCGCAACAAAAAGTTATTTTCTGCGCTTAATCTTCTTTTTCAAAAATGTAAACACCAAAGCAAAAACATGAACCCATTTTGTCGATAAGACGTAACATAAAATGGCTACAAATTGCGCATGCTCTGAACATGCCGGAGGCTCCTGCTCCCAAACGGAGTAGTGAAAATGTGCCGTGTTTGAAATTTTTCTAATTTAAAAAAGTTTCTGAAATGGGTGATCCTGAATTACCACTACCAGCTCCACCGCCACTAAAGCGACAAAATGCCCTTTAGGGTTAAAAGCTCTTGGTAGCTTTGATTCCAAAGGGCCATGTTGACTGACATTCAGTCGACATTATGGGGAGGCCTTCCCCATGATCAAACACTGAAAAAGTTACCCATGCCTAGTAACAATAATAGAATACAAAGGCATATAAAGCACGTGAACAGAAGTAGATAATGTCTAGCGTAAACACTATTTTTTTGCTACCCTGTTTAGCAGTCGTTTTGTCCCCAAAGGAAAAAGGCGAACTAAAAGCTTGTGAGACGCAGGCAAAGAGAACCCGCACGGGAACCAACCAGCGTGCAGCTGTTTTGCTCAAACACGACGAATGGACTGAGGGCACGCGAGTTGCTCTCTTTTACTGGCTGCCTCGTGTGTGACTTTTATTTCGTTTCGAAGAAACAAGTGTCAGAGTGACTTACAGACCTCATAACGTTTCTATTATAGAAAAAGTGTGCAGGTGGATTTTTCCAATGAAAATAAAATCCTACACGGGTAGTGATAGAACCAAAGTGTTTGTTGAGTAAGATGAAGAAGTAGATGAATATGGAACGGACGGTTTCAAAATCGAATACTATTCCAGGTTGTGACATACGCACGTAATGTGTGATATTCTTCTAACAATAGCATAAACAATAACTTTCTAAGCCATTGTTTCGTAGCTCCGCCTAGACAAGTTAATGAGCTTAAGCTCCCTGAGAAGGAATGAGCGCGTAATCTTTGACCAAGCAAAGCTCTCCAGAATACCTTTCGCCGCTAATATTACGGATCTATAATTTTTTCGCTACTGCAAGTAAATGTCTCGAGAACAATAGGCATTCTGCGCGATGAAATACGCTGTCTTGGACTCGAGATGATCTTGTGTCTTCTGACTTGTTTCGTTTCGTAAAGAATGTGCGTCGGTGTAGTCGGAATTGTGGTGGAAAGAAGTCTAGAACAAGAGTATCAAATCAAAGACTATTTTTCTCTCAATGAAGAAAAGAATAGTAAACGTGTACAACAGAAAAACGGAAAAGTGAAGTTAAAACCACCATGAAGTTACTAAAGATCACGGCCCTGTTGTTCAAAGGGCAGATTACGCTTTCCAATGGCCGAATAGCCATCCAGCGGTTGTGCTAACAAAACGTATTGTGTTATCGACTGTATAGCGTTATCCACCCTTCAACCAATAAAGGCCATTGTCTTCATACCAAGAGGAACTATTTAAGAGATATCTTAGGCTTTGTGTAAAAAACGTAAACACAGACAAATAAAGTGAAACGTTCCTTCTTGAAAGTTGAGGTAGGTGTGTCCTTGTCATCGAAGAAGGAAAAAAAAAGTTACTAGCTATTACTGCCTTTAAACTCAGTAATTATTTTCGACTCTAGAGAAACTAAGTGTTCTCATCACCTTTTCATGTCATGAGAGAGGTCTTCCTTCGTATATCGAGACCTAGTGGTAAGGTTATGTAAACGAAGTTTTTATAAAGAAATTGAATCTCCAAAACCACGAAGTTCGTTAGACCTCGCCCAAAAAGCACCCAATTAAATACATTCGCTGAATTTTCATTGTAAATTAATACTTGAAAGCATCGGTATCCAAAAGATTAATATACGCTCTTAAACTATGTTCAATTTTCCAATGTTTAGAATCGAAATCTTCAGTAGCTATTGTTGTTACAGCTCTCTTCTGCGTGTTCTCAAGTGTATGGAAGAGGAGTGGGGAGTGATAGCGAGTAGAAAAACTTATAGACTTCATATTTCAGTGATATGCACTGTTGTTGCCATATTAAAGCAACTTTTTATGTGGTTTAAGTTTAGAACATTTAGCTCAAAAGTCGGTGCAAAAATTTAAAAAAACCAAGAATAACGGGCACACTTGATCACGAAATTAAGTACTATGACTCCACCTTATAATTTCGTCGTTTATGCCCTGTGCATGGTTAACAATCGTGCTAGATTAAAGGGAAAGCACGCTTGAGAGCTCATGCTTCGCGATGGTATTACCTCAGGACAGTAGATTTTTGTTACCCCTCATTCATCATTAATTCAGTAACAAAATCATTATATTAGTTATTGGTCATCAACAGCGCGATTTGAGCACTAATAGTACAGTGTACTCGTCAAGCTTGCTATTGGACCGCTCAATTTTCATTACTCTTTATTCATTACCAACTCAACTATATTTACAAGTAACCTTAAAACAAGGCTCCCGAAAGTGAAAGGTTGGCATGCAATGATATTTGAGCACCACTAGGACAGCGTACTCTTCTTCAAGCTTGTATGCTTCATGTCTGTTCTCGACAAGGGTTATCAGTCTCACCCTTCGGCTTCGGCTGATAGCCCCTACTTCGACCTTGATTATTCTGGATATCAAAAAGAAAACCCATCCAATAATTGTTTAGAACGAAAGCAAAATCAGTCCATCTCGGATTACCTTCGACATAGTTGAAAATTACTCTTACAATCAAATCACCCAGCTAAGTCAAGTGGCAAAAAAAACTATTTGTTTTTAAGATCAACTGTGGAAACCTTAACAACCCACATTGAGTCTTCACCCCGCCTTTACTTCAGGCCTGGCGACAATTGGTCTGTCCTGCTCTTGTCCAAGTACTTTCAGATGTGAAATATGAGCACCAAGCGCCTGAAAGAAGTTCTCCTTGTAATTGTACCTCACCCCAAACTCCTTACACGTCTCACGGACGATGGGAGTAATCTGAGGATAGTAAAACTGACTCACTCCTGGGAAGAGGTGATGGGCTGTTTGATGATTGAGAGCTCCTGGAAAATATGGCAAAGGATGATTGGTTGGTTATCTTAAGTGTACACATTTAAGCTCCCGCATGAGACTGTCTTATATTATATGAATGACACTGAATGACACAAGTGATGAACGGAAACCGTAGAAGCCTGACTGTGTATATCGGGCATGACTCGAGAGGCAACTATCGCAAGGGTTTTGTCTGATGTATAATAAAATCAAAGGTAATTGACCAGGCCTAAATGCCCGATATCAACATTTTTGCTTACACTCGTTACAATAAAAAACAA